CTCAGGGGTTGTGACATTTTGAGGGCCTATTACAGCTGCTTGTTGTAGGAAAGTTAGAAAACTAGTTGTAGTGGTTTGCTACAAAAGTGCTAGAGGACCGCCTATGGTATTTGTTGCGAGGGAACTAGGGGGTTAGTTACATCAATTTGTAGCGAAAGTGGTAAGGGTTCACTGGTAGGATTTTGCACTATTAAACCAAAAGGGCTTGACTTCCGTGATGCACCATTAATGCCTAACAGGCAAAGTCAAAGGTGGTGGCATCGGCTATTACAAGAGCAATGGCAAGAACATTGGTGGATTTTGTAAGCTAGATGGTCGGAATACATCTAAGCTTGCATTATCTGCACTGTCGCAGTCATCTACTATTGTAGAGTCTGCATATCGTGCAGAGCCTGCACTATTGTGGAGGGCCCTGGCGCCTCTGGAGCTTTTTAGCTTGTAGAGGAACCATGGCAATCCTCACGCTGGGGCGGGCTTTTTTGCTGCTCGTCTTTCTTGTCATTGTTGTTTCTAGTCATCGTATTAGACAATACCCTTCCACTTTGAGTTGTAACAAGCATGGGTTAGCGAGGAAAAACCTCCCCAGTGGAGTCACCAAAAGAATGTAGGTGGAGAGTTAAAAGAGGCCATTACACGTGTCTATGTCAAGGATAATCGAAGAGGATGAGTACAATAAGCAAACGGGATGGAAAGAACTCGAGTAGCTTGTTAACAAAGGGACAAACTGATTGGGTAGAGGATAAGTGAAAATGCTCTCACCTACCAGAAAAATTATCATCCGCCGTAGGCAAGTAATGTGAGTATTTATAGCATATTGCCCGAGCAGGTCAGGCTGCCCGCCAAGACCCATCACTACTCTCGCGAACCCACAATTGCCTCGACTGTAATGATACCAGTGTTCGTTAATCGCGAGCCACGTGTCCCAATATTAACCAGACAGATGTGATATTTTCCCAAATGCAACCTAGGCACAGCTCCCAAGGAAGGTACGACAACCATGGTGAAAGAGAGCTCCCAAGGTTCATAACCGCGACTAGTCATTGGCGGACCATATCCTTGAGAGGACCATGTCCGCGATGCCCCCAGCATGCTCCTCCCCGAGATCCTTCTTTCCCTCTCTAGACCCTTCATCGAGACCTTTATCGAGGTGCCTGATAGAGAAAGCCCACATAATTTCAGTTCTTCAGCCACCAATCCACATGTCCCATTATCCCATATGTTGATCTGGACCGATATCCCCAGTTACCTTAGGAGTCCCTCCAGATCCTAGTTAAGCATATCCCAGTGGACAGTAAGTCATACATTGGGAGGCCTACTCGAGCAGACTAAACCTTCAAGACCCTACCCCAGGCCGAGGTTGACAACAGTGCTTGTCCGCCCCCATTGCTCAATTTTCCCTTGAGAAGGGTCATACTCCCCTGTCCCTAGGTGGGGACACCTCCTCTTAGTTCAGTGGCTAATTGAGCAATGGTATCCAATAAGTTGAGGATACCACTCCTACGATGGGGGAGGTGAGTCTTGCTGAGAGTGCTCTCATACTTCTGTGATTCCAATTTTATCCACCCTCAATGAAGGGTCCATTTTGTCACTTCCAATGCGATGGAGATGTTGTAAAAACCCGGATATGTGAACCGCGCAATTAAAAAGTATAAATAGGGTTTAATATCTGAAAAATCAGATATTTTATCACCCATTTGGCCGGCTGATTCAGGCATTGAAGAGAAGAGAAGGGAGAGAAAAGAGAAAACCTAATTTCTACCTTTCTTTCTTAAATCCAGGAAACTCCGTTGGTCGAAATCATTCGAACCAAGAACTAAAGTCGACAAGGGCTACGCATACGTACCAAGAACAAGGGATTTCACCAAAGATCCAAGGGAAGGACTTTGGGAAAATCAAGGTTTTGGGGCTAGAAGGGTGTCTTGAGGCTTCTACCTTTCGTGTTACACTCCAAGAGGTAAGGTTCCTTCCTACTCCGGTTTATTTCTAACCTACAGTGTCCGTATGAAATGGTTAGGGGTATAAAATGATTTATGACTTGCCTATAGCCATGGAAATGGTGAATTGAGTATAAAAATGTTCTAGACCAATTTCTAGTTAAATTTGGTTTAGGGAGGTTACTTGTGAAATTTTCATATAACTTGTTATTAAGTGGACAAATTGTGTGCTTACATGATTGTTGCCTTGACGGTGTTTTGCCAAAATGCCTATGTGAGAATTAAGCTTGTTATGGCATAATTTATGTATGACATGCTTGAGAAAAATGTAATTGATACTTGGGTTAGTATACTAATATCATGATAAAATGTGGTAATTATATGCATTAGATATAAATTACCATTGCATACGTTGAAGTACGTGGTTTAATTGATCCATATGGCATTCATTATACATGGAGCATAACATAGATAATGCAATGGAGTACATTGCATTTGCACGGGGGAAACACATCCATGGGCATGAGTGTGGGTGTGTGTGTGCATGGTTGGGTCAAACACCATCCTTGGTGGATGACACGTGGGCTTGGTATCGTTGGACTAAGGTTCTACAGAGTCACAAGGTTACACGAAAAAGAAAATTTGTGTCGAGTATAGCAAGAAGGGCTAGATTCTCCCTCGGGTGCAAGACCTAGCTGCTTGGTTCATACACTCTGTCGGTGCAAGTCCAAAAAGTGTAGAAAGGCGTACGAAGTCGGCGGTGTGATTCCAAAATCCGTTGCCCAACAAAGACACAAGATTTTGTTTTATAAAAATACTCATTCAATGGGTAACATCCACAATGATTTGGTCTTATAAACACATCATTTTTATTTCAAACAATCATTGGATGTATTTTTCGTCAATTGACGGATTCATTACACATGTGCATTGCATTGTGTTGTGAGAGTCGGTGAAGACTCGAGGTAAAGTGCATGAGTGAGTCTCATCTCATTTCATGGCATGACATTATAGATTCTAACATGAATTACATATTCTTGTATTGGAATGGATATTAGTTGTGTATTATTGCATGTATACATTCATATACACTTAGGTGGGGAGTAGCCCTTGTAGGAAATACTCTACTAGGCTTGGCTCACCCTATACAGGAACACATTTCAGATGCGGGACATATTCCTGTGGATAACACACATTCGGGGCCTCAAGAGTGAAGAAAAGCTGGTTTGTGGCTTTTGAAAATAAGTTTTGTATAGAAACTTAGGTTTAATTCCATTTTAACATGTAAATATATAGAATGGGTTGTAATAGACTTGTATGAATCATGTATAATGTAGAAAATATCTTTATACATGTTTGGGATGAATTTGGAAAGGATTAGATTGGATTGAAAATCGAAAATAGGTGAAATAGGGAAAAATGGACTCAGCGTACCGGTACGGTGAGGTCCAGTGAGGCACGCGTACTGGTACGCTTTGACAGATTTTAAATTTTTTTTATTTTTCTTCCAAGGTCTTGGGCTATGCATTATTTACTTCCAATGATACAAATGGACCTTAAAAGAGATATATTGGGGTACATTGAATCTCGATATGATTAAATGATTAATGAAACACGGGTGTTACGTGTGATGTAAAATTCTGGTAATGGGATAATATTTACGTGATATCGGATCAAACGGCACTTACAGGCATTTCCGCGGGTTGATGGATTGTCAATGGGAACCCTGATTTTAGGGGCGTCACAAATGTATCTCACCTTGTTGCAGTGTTGTGCCAGGGGACATCGCACCTTGGGTGCCATGCTTGGGAGCACTGCACATGGGATATCGCACGTAGGGGTATCACGCCTAGAAGCGCTATACATGGGGTGTCACACCTGGTTGCGTCGCACCTTAGTTGTCGTGCTTGGGGGCGTCACACCTTGGTTGATGTGCTTGAGAGCGGTGCACATGGGAAGTTGCACCTGGGGGCGTCACGCCTTGGGTGTCGTGCCTCAAACGTCTCACCTTGTAATTGTTATCTATACTAGTTCCGTTGGACCCTGTCGGCCCCATGATAATTATTGCGACTTGTCCTATTATGGTGTTGGCACGTGTCTTGAATTTTTCGGGTACTAAACTTATTTCAATAAGAACAATCCAATCAATGGGCCAAACATGAATTTTTGAGCAAACTCTGTGATAACTCCAAGAGATTTTTGTAAAGGTGTTTTTGTGGATACCTCCAAAAAATAACTCAAGTGGTAATAAAAACGAACGGTAAACTTATACGTCCTAAATTTGGAACACCCTTTTACCGTTGAAAAAAACCCTACGGTAATTTTGCCTTCTCAATAAATTTTCATACCATCCGTGATTAAGTGCACGACTTATGTAGTCTATATTTTGGATGAACGGAGTAATAATTGATTCTATCCCCAAACCGCTTAAGTATAATTTCTAAACGTAAGAGTTTGAATTGTATAACTTACAAATGTCAAGAAGCACAGTGTGTATTTTTCAGAATATTAGTGTATTTAGTTTTATTGCTTTTATTATAAAATAAAAAAATAAATAGTCAATCCAATAGTACTCATTGATAAACCACTTAATTAAAATGAGTCATATTACTCAACCTAATTAGAACCCTCATTAATTAAATTAATATAGATACTCAACACATTTATTTATGGACAAATTGGATAGATTAATGTGTAATAAATTAAAACCACCTCTACGTGGAATACCTACATTTTGAAATGACACCGACATACACACAATTCCAAAACCCGCAACATGAAATACACCACCATTTAAATTGAGCAGGGATGAAGAAAATATAAACAATGGCATGATACGATAAATATTCATCTAATCAATAAAATAAAAATAATTTATTTATTCACCGCATGCTTCTCCCAAACCCAAACATGAAAACTACAAGCAAAATATTGGTAAAATCAATCAACAACAATGATAAGGTTACACAACGTACACTCGGTATCCTCCACAACAGAAAGGTCCACCAAAACTTTCAAATATGATGTGCTTGGAAGCAAGCACCAAACTGAAACTATAACTCGTCATTAATGCCTAAAGTGCCTCACATTGGTAAAAAGAAGAGAGACCCCATATTTGTTACAACAGTCTATCGCATCCGCATCTCTGATGCTCCCACCAGGTTCGGCAATAGCACTTACACCACTTTCACAAGCTTCTTCAACAGCATCTTTCCAGGCTGTTTACAAAACAAGACTCTAGTTTAGAAAAGAAACAACAATGGGTAGGTTTGGTTCCATCATTACCAAAAGGTCATTCTACTGGTTTATACATATTTGTGTTTGCATTTGCACACTAGAATCAGCTTTTACTTTGTTGTCGAGGATTATGTATTATGTTATCCTTATACACACTTATTTTGGGTTCCACTCCTAAGTTTGTGGGTTAATAATTGAATCAATAGATTACTTTTATTTTATCCGGAAGTACTTACCAAATGGAAAGAAGGCATCGCTAGCCAAAGCAGCCCCTTTAACTTCGTCTCCTGCTTTCCTTAAAGCTATCCTCAAACTCTCCAGACGGTTCGGCTGCCCACTTCCCATACCTAACATACAATTGTTCTGCCAAATAATATCGCTAATTAGAAATATTTCATGTGCAATCCAAATAATTTCAATCAGCAGTATATAATGTTTAATAAGGGGAACATACAGACCTTCACAACAACAATGGCGTTGCTCTTGACATGTTTTACACACAGCCAAGCAAACTCTGCATCACGAAGCTCATTGTCTTGTGGAGTTCTCTCAGAAACAACATTAAATTGGATATCTTGTGGGATCAAATCATCAGCATCCTGAGCTAACCAGCCCCCACCGACTTGTCTAAGTGAGAGCTTGCCTTTACTATTTTTGCTTGCCTCAAGGATTCTTAAAGTCTTGGACTTCCCACGAAGGATCTCAAGCCCTTTTTTCGTATACTTTGGGGCAACCACTATCTCATAAAACATCCTAGTTTCACCATCTGTTGGGCTTCTAAATTCTCGGATATCCTTTGCAAGAGCCTTCAAAACACGGTAATTATAAACTCAGAGAGGTATCAATAGGGTCCAGCTTTCCAAGCTACTCAGAGCAAAATAACTTTTTGTCGAACTAGGGTACAGGGAAGAGTTTTTCATTTTAGTTCAGAAAAGGCATGCCTAAAAAGCCAATAGGAGCCAAACCCAAATAAAAGTACAAAATGCTAGATCACAGAAAATTTCAATAAATTATTCACCTCATCAACTTCTATGTTGAAGGCTACAATACCACCAAATGCACTCACTGGATCTGCTTTCACAGCTAACCTATATGCTTCAATGATATCATCTCGTGAAGCTACCCCACAAGGATTGGTATGCTTCACAATCACACAAGTAGGCTTATCAAACTCACACACGCAGTTCCAAGCTGCATCAGCATCTAAATAGTTATTATAGGACATTTCCTGTACCAAAGAAGAAAAGAAACAAAGCTGGTATTAGTCCTCTGGTTTTCGCATAGTTAGAAGCCTATCACATACATATAGGATAAAATGTCATGCTCATGAAATACAACACCAACCACTGTTGACAGCTGGGTTAAGATCACAATGCTAAAAACGCAAAGAATAAATACGACTAGGAATTAAAATAGTTCGATCTGCAACAATTCCAAGAGTACCCAGAAAAACCCAAATAATGATACACACACAAACACAACAAAACAAAAATTGAACAGATATGAAGCAATTCACTACAAGAAGATACATTACCTTCAAAAGAAGTAAAGAAATATACTTTTCTCATAGAAGTTAAAGCCAACTCGACAAATTGAATCTTTTTTCCTTTTCTCAGAAGTTGCTATGACTCTTTTATTCCCTGCAGCTGGGGCCACTTTGTTGTGCATATATCAACATAGGTTTGTTCTTTTTTCTAATGTGCTTTTGTTTGTAGGACTTTTTGTTTTATTTTATTTATTTATTTTTTATTTATTTAATTTTTTTTTGGGTGGGGGGGCAATGTCTTAAACAAAACATCCTAGGCATACTGACAGAAATGATTAACATTGAGCACTTCACAATCTCACCTTTCCATGGTGTTGAATGGCAGTTGCAATACCACCAGCATTAACTTCGGAGAGACTGTTGTCAACATAAAATGCAGCCTTTTGATGAGGGTTTTCTCCATAGCGAAGTGAACTTTTGAGTGAGAGAGGCACTGTCAGGCTGGGAGGAAACTTGTCTTCCAACATAGAAAACAAAAACATGTCAATGTGTACATGTACCATTGCATCATATCTAACACCTTTACAATGCAAGATAACTTCAATAATCATGGTGGGTTTTAATCTGATTTTGAGAGATATTTGTTGCCTAGTGACAAAGTTTATTTTAGGATCTCGATGCTTATTAATGATCATTCTCAGGATTAGTGAGGTGACTTCAATTTTCAGAATGATCTTGCATATTTGAAACGAATCATCTTATCACCAAGAATTTCCACATCTATAATGGTTTTCATTAAAACCAAAAAGTAAACAAGAGTACCTCCCACAGTCTGCTTCCACAACCACTCTGATACTGCAGAATCATAAGAAGCAACATGTTGAAAAGCCTTCCAGGCCAGTTTCCTTCTAAACAGCTGATCATCCTGCTTTCCTCTAAGATATTCTAGGAGTGCGGGATAGTCTTCCGAGTCAACAACAACCAAGACATCCTTGTGATTCTGTTTAATGTGTATGAGTCAAACGAGATCCTACTTGACTAAATATGAACAATGAACCACTTACATCGATATATAATACCAATATGTTGAATTACGAAAACAAAGACAACCTTGTGATTCTGTTTAAAATGTGAGTTGTAATCTTCCACAAGCAGAATGAACAGTAAACGACTGGGATTAGTAATTAAAACACTGAGAAATTGTACCTATAAAATGCTTCCATGTAATCATTAAAGCTAATTTAAGCCTCAAGTCACTCCTGATCACCACAACACCCTTATTGGTGCTTATCAATAGTGTCTGATCCAATTGATGATCTCTCGTCACCAATAACATATTAGTGTCAAAGATAAATTGCTGAAGTACCCAACCCTTGATGAAAGTGGAGGTACGAATATGTCCATTTATTAAGTAGATATAGATTCATTTGAGTCTCTTCATTTTTTTATTTTTTTTTTGTAGTAATTAGAAGAATGTGTGTGATTGTATTAACTTTTTATAAGTGTAAAGATGTCGAACAATTCTTAATCTTAGTGAAATAATGTTGACATTTTCATGGAGATAAATAACCTTTGCAGCAGCTCTGATCATGGCAGGGCCTCCAATATCGATGTTCTCAATTCCATCCTCGAATGCAATTCCACCAGTAGAAGAAACTTTGTCATAAAAGGGATACAAGTTCACCACCACTAAATCAAATGTACCTAAGATAGAACTGTTTTATCAATAGCCGTATTACAAAATATCAAAAAACCAAGAACATCCAAGGCCACATTTCTTCAGCAAATATAAGGATCAAATAGGATACTTTATGTCCTATCCGAAATTTGGATTCAAGCCGAGGAAAGTTTCTAGACAGTTGACATGCAAATGACTCATATGAAGGATATAACACAATCCACCTATCGAGTGGGCTTACAATATCCACTGGATTCTGTTTATACGCTTTACATCAAATGGAAGCTTGTCTCCCATTGACAGCATAACAAACCACAGACACTTGGAATTTTTTTTTTCATCTTTTTCTAGTCTAAAAAAAAAAGAAAATTAATTATTGCTATTTTTCCTCTATCATTTTGATTTCAATGCAAGTAATATGATGACACTTTTATAGTCAATAACACATAAATGTCCAGCATTGCCAACCCATCACTTACTTTTACCCATATGCAAACATCTACATACAAAAAAAAACATGTGGTAGAATCCTTCTATCTTATGTATTGCAAAAAAAAAAAAAACATCTACATACATTCATCCTTCTATCTTATTTATTGCATACTTTTCCAACCAAGCTATCTATTGCCTTGGGCATTCCTCTGTCACATGTGGTAGAATCCCACAGGTTGACAGCAGTACAAAGCATTTAAGCAAGTAGGCTTAAGCAGGAAATAAATTAGGGGCTCAAACAGAACTCGTTTAAGTTAACAAATGATGATGAATCATTATATATGGACTATTCAAATGAAGTGCTTATGTTTGTTAGTTCCGCTATGATGAAGAAGTAATGTGTCTCACCAATTTCATGCTTATCAAGAGCTTCCATGTGATGCTTTTGGTCCCTTCGAGCAAGAATACCCCCATGTATGTTGGGATGTAAAGTTTTTACACGACCATCAAGCTGTAAAAGAATTAAAATAAAGGAAAATTCACTGTCATTAACATGTGCAGCAGCGATAACTTCCAAGGGAACATAAATACATGGTACAATACCTGAAGTCTAGGATCACATATAAAACATTTTAAATCATTTCAAGATCTTGCACAATCTGAAAAATACTGCCCTTCTTCAGTAGTTTATAATGGGCAGCATATGCTTAATGATTGGAGAAAGCTCACAGTACGTAATATTTTATATTTAGGAAAACAAAAGGGGACATTATAGTGGTTTAAGCATCCCCAGGTGCTCGCTATATTAACAGTGAGCATATTGAAACCTCCTTTGAAATGAAAGAATACAGCAAGCCAATAATAGACACAATGATATCGTATTAAAAAACATAACATCGTAAATTTGACATAAAATATGAAAAGGCTAACATAATAGAAATGCATGAAAAAACCGAGTGGTCTACAGGCAACACAAGAAGTAGAAACCAGGAAAACTTTAAAATTTCATACGTTGAAGCACATAAAAATATAGGGTGGGGGATGAACAAAACACAAATTCAATAGCTAAGCTAGATCTTTAATAAAACACTGCACGGTTGTTCAACAGCCCAAATCACGCAATCTCAGAGCTTGACTTCCAGCATTGACTGCTGAACCAAGCTCAAGCAACCTGGGATGGTCACAGATAGCCTCGTAGACAATCAATGTAGAAGTTGTTTAATCATATGGCCAAGGATCAAAATTTCGTTTCGAAGTACCGTTTCGGTCAACTCAAAAATAAAAACGTTTCGGAAACATTTTGGAAACGCAATGGAAACGCAGAAAAAATATGGAAACGCATAGAAACACAAATGCAATCCATTAATTTATAAAGATATGCTAAATAATTTATTAATTCAACATATTTATTAGGTTAACATCAATTTATACAAGAATAAATTTAAATTTGAGGGAAAAAAAGGCTTGACTTGAGGCGAAAGTCACTTAAATTAGTTTCAAATACTTAATTTTATGAAATAAACACATTTTTACATAATATTAAGGTCTTATAATACACATGAAATGCTAATAAGTACATACTTACATGGTTACATCCATTCTCCTGTGGAGTGTCGAGCAGGCTCATACATCGGTGTAGGCTCTGGGTAGCTACTTAGAGAAACTCCATATGTGACATAAATATGATGACAATAGTTACTCCAAATCATATTATTACAGTAATATAATCCAATTAATAATACTATTTTATTATAATACTAATAATGAAGGGTATCAAATTAAATTAATGATACTTATGTATACTTAAAAATTAAATGTAATTGCAGTGGGTATTAAATGTAATTACAGTAGGTATTAAATATAATTACATTAGGGTATTAAATGTAATTGTTAATACTTATAACAAAAAAAAAAGCAAAAAACTTGCACAGCAGTGAGGTATTAAATATAATTACAGTATGTATTAAATATAATTATAATGGGTATTAAATATAATTATAGTAGGGTATTAAGTGTAATTATTTATTCTTATAACAAAAAAATTATAAAAGACAGAAGAGCAGTGGGAATAAATGTAATTATAGTGGGATATTAAATATAATTATAGTGAGTATTAAATGTAATTACAGTGGGTATTAAATGTAATTATAATGGGGTATTAAATGTAATTATTCATAATGAACCGAATATATCACTGTTTTGTCGAAACGGTTCGAAACAATGCCGTTTCGACCGAAACGGTACCGTTTCGACCGAAACACTGGAATTTTGTGATTCAACTACTGTTTCGTTTCGGAGTGTTGAAATTCCGAAACGTTTCGGACGTGTCGACACGACATTTTGATCCTTGCATATGGCGCATTCTATAACATTGAGTATAAAGAAAATAAAGTGTTTGTACCAAAACAAAAACCAAAAAGAGAAAATGAAAAGACACAAATTGAGAAATAAAGAAGTAACCATTATAATTGGCAAACAACTAAGAAAATATATAGTGCTAGATTGGTGTTTCAAACAATTCAACCATCTACTGCTCCACTTGCCCAAAAACAGGTTCTTAAGATTATGAACTCCTAGTATGCCCGCCCCTATTGGATTTATATTGTTCAAGCACCAAATGTTCCTCTTTTTCTACTTTTCCATGATGATTTAGGTAAACTTTTGTTGTTTCTCCCTTCCTCTGCAACAAATTACAACTCTTTCATTTGTGCCTAAATAGCCTACCCAAAAATGGGCTAACAGCAAGCTCAGCTCAACAAAGCCATGAACATGCTCAATCTTCACCCCGCCCACAGCTTCCAAACTTCACATGGCTACCTGATTCTAAGTTGAGCTTACTTCAGTTTGAAATCTGAAGGGAAACCTAGTCGAGATCATACAATTCAAATTTTAACACAGCTCCTATGAGAGAGATAATTTTAGTAAATGTATCGGACATGAACATACCAGAAAGAAAATCAAATACGATGGATCTTAAACTCATGAACACAACAAATAACTCTTTTTAAATTATACCACTATTTATCAAATGGGAATGGGATCTAATGGATCCAGGCCTGACCTCCTTTTTTTCTTTTTTGTGGGTTGGTGGTCTTTTCATTAATCGGTAATGATGCAATCTAGAGAATGTGAAATGGAGATAAGAACTCCTCAAAGACGTATGCACATAAAAAGGGTAGCAGTGAAGATAATGATGAAGAAATCAACAGCCAATGATACTTAAAGGTGGCCCGAGCTCTGTTAAAAGGCATTTCTTCTGTCATTATAGGATACCAACAAAATCGAACATTAACTGAGAATTTTTCTTCTATGTACTTTTTAGAAGAAACATACCTTCCATTAAAGAAAGGCAAACATTCAACAATGGGGGAGAAGAAATCCAACCAAAAGTACTTTGATAAAACAGAAAATAAAGAGGACAGAACCCACTCTTCCCTCCACTTTAGCTGCATGCCGCAATACAATTTTGATGAATAAAAGAGAATGATTATACTGAAAATCTTTGGTGGCTGCCGCACATAGAGAAGCCAAAAACTTGACTTTTTTCCACGAAATCCTCAAAATCAAGTTTCTATTTCTTTCCATCCAAGCAACCCAAAAATTACCTATGTACAACAATTGGTCAGGAAGCCCTTCTATTTTTTCCAAAACAGCTAAAATATTCCACAAATAAAGAACACAACCTTGTTAAATAACATAATCCATCCTTGCCTCCCAAAATAATTTATTCCAAAAATTCAACACAATGGAAGATTGAATTAAAAGACAATCCTGAAAACATCGATAACAAAAGAGACAATGAAAAGAAAACAGGAGAAAATATTATTGCAGCTCAATAAGTATATTACAATATCTTAAAAGATGCATAATAGAAACCCGTTATAGTAGGGTAAAACAAATAAAGGATAAAAGGTCTAAACTATCCCTAATACTAAAATACTAAAAGGTCTAAACTATCCCCCTCAAACTCATGATGAAGTAGCAAAAAATATCAGGAGTTGGCCAACAAGCAAACGGAAGCGCATAGATGATGATACACACAATGACAAGCAATCTAAAGATGCTTTGTACGCTTATGAAACACCGAATTATGGATAATCTAAATGGCACTTGTGTTGTCACAATACATAGGAGTAGACACCGAGAACGAAATGCCAAGATTAATATGTAACCATCGCAACCAAACGATCTGAGCTATGGTGAAAAGCATAGAACAATACTCAGCTTCAGCAGAAGAACGAGTAACTATAGTTTACTTTTTGCTCTTCCAAGAAATAAGTGAATTACCAAAAAAAGGCACAAACTGGAGGTAGACTTGCGATTCACAGAGTCGTCAGCCTAATTAGCATTTGAATAAGCCTTGAGTTCCAACAAAGAAGAGGAAAATAATAGACTTTGGCGCAAGTACTTCGAAGATAATGAAGAATGAGGAAAACAACAGCCCATAGTAATAGGTGAGGCAACAAGCTAAGAAAAAATATCAACTGACATAAGAGATGTCTGGGCGAGTAAGAATAAGATACACCAATATGCCAACAATAGTGCAGAATAACATAGGATCTGATAATCGAATGTGAGGAAAAGTAACAAACATTGAGCTCTAAGGTCATCTCAACTGTCCGAGTGTCTGATAAGTGGGCTCTCTGTATAATATCTGAGGCATACTTGGATAAGAGAGAATATAACACTTAGAAGAAGATGCGACCTCAATACTCAAAAAATATTGAAGTTGATCTAAATTCTTCATTTCAAAATGGTCCTACAATTGGGTCTTCAACGACAAAAGACCTGCAATATCATCACCAGTAATGATCACACCATCAACATATAATAAAAGTATAATAGAACTTGAAGGAGAGGGATGCAACAAAAGAGCAAAGCCATGATCACTGGTACAAAAACGCAATTCGCCGATGACGGAAGATAATTTGACAAACTATGCTCCGGGGGCTTAATTAAGACCATATAATGTCTTGCGTAGTTTGCACACCTCACCAGGATTATGAGGCAAACCATGAAGAGGAGTCATAAAGACCTCTTCAATTAGATCTTCATCAAGGAAGACATTTTTATATCCATCTAAGAAAGACTCCATTGATGAATAGCAGTCACAGCAATCACTGTGCGAACTATGGTCATCTTAACAACAGGAACAAATATCACTTCATAGTTAATGCCATATTCTTGAGCAAATCCCTTCGCTACTAGCCAACCTTGTATCGTTCAGAGAACTATTAGATTTGGGCTTAATTTTATAAACCCATTTACAACCAACAATGCGTTTACCAGAGGGTAAAGACACCAACTCCTAGGTTCCAGTTTTATGTGACGCAACAAGTTCCTCTTCAACAACCTGGGGATCAAGAATAACCTCCTTATAGGAGATAGGTTCATAGAGATAGTGAATAGAAGCTAAGAACTAACAAAAATCAGTAA